AAAAAAAAAAAAAAAAAAAAAAAAAATGAACATGAGCTGTCCATGAAAAAGATTTACAAAAATATGAAACAATGCTATTCTCACTTATTTTTTAGAAAAATGGTTATTTTTCATTAAAGTGTATTTATCATATATTACATTTATTAATACTTTAAGTACATAAATTAAGAAATACTAGACATTTTTCCAGCTTTAATTTCTAATCTGACAAGTACTGCTATGTGTAATTCATATAAAGAAAGGCTCTTTGGGATCCTTAATAACTTGTTAAAAATTTAAAGGGGTCTTGAAACCAATAGATGAAAACTACAAAGGCTATTTGGTAGGATTTCTATGCAGTGTTTAATTAAAGAGTAGCTGAGTCAAATACTGATCTACAAGCTTGTATGTTCCTTCTCCAGTGACCTAGGTAAGCACTAAAAAACTAGATAGTTTGATCTGTGGTTGGGGTTTTCAAGGTAATTACAGTTACAAATAAGATGGCAAAGAAGTCAGGGAAAATGACCAACTTTGGGATCTTAGCTGAATAAGAAAGAGAATGAGTCCAAGAGATGCTGATTATTTCAAAGAAAAAGAAAGAATCCAAAGACTACATCATGATAATGTTGCTTATCAGTGAAATAAATGAAAAAGGTAAATAAAATCTAAAAATCTAGGAGGATACAAAAAGAGGTAAGCTGTTTAAACGATAGAAAACTGAGTAGTCTTAACTATCATTTTACAGGCTAGGAAACTCAACACAGGAGTGTCAGAGCTAGTTGAGTTCAACTTGTACTATGCAGAGCCCTCTTTCCATTCTTTATAATGTATGTGTTGGTCATCCTCCCATCTGTGTGACAAAATACTTGAGATAATCAACTTAAAAGGAAGAAAGATTTATTTTGGCTTTTAATCTGTGGTCAGTTGGCGTCATTGTTTTTAGAACCTGTAAGCAAGGCAGAAAACCATGGCAGGGAGTGTCGTTAGAGCGTAGCTGCTTATGGGAGCTGAAACCTGAGAGGAGAGACCCGCATCCCGACGTCTTCTTCGATGGTTTACCCCCAGTGACTCTCCCACCGCTGCTACCTCTACTCCTAAGGCTTCCACCACTTCCTAATAGCAGCATCGGCTGGGGACCACGCCTTCAGCATGTGGGCCTTTGAGGGACACATCAGATCCAAGCCATAACAATGTAGTTGGCTAACTTTTTTTGTTTTATGAACTTGAAATAGTAGTATATAAAAACAAGTGAAAATATTTTATTAACATTCTTGACTTACAAAAAAAAGATTCTTGAAATAAAATTTTTAAAAATAAACATTTTTCTTCTTTGATCTAATAAAGGTTTCTAAAATATTGGAAGAATTTGATGTTGAAGAGCAACCAAGTACCATGTTAGAAAGTCGCTTTCCTAACATTAAGGTCATAGAATCTGGAGTAAAGCAACTGAAGAGTAAAGAACATGTAAGAAAAAAATTTTAAATAATATTTACCCACGTTAAATATTGGTAAGGTTTCACTTATCTTCTTTTGATCCCACCTTTTCACGACCACCATTTCAGTCTCTAAAACATAGTTTAGTGGCATTGATTTTTATGATTAGAAAAATTACACTTGGGGAAGTTGATTTGGGTTATAAGTTTCTGGAGTACATAGGAACAGTACGAGTCACCTGCTCCTACAAACTGCCAGAGTTGAGTGTAGACATGTATACTATATAATTAATGGACATATAAAAAGCACAATCCTTAAAATACTATCAAAATTCTGGCATTAGGTGTTGAGGGAGGTGTCACAACACAGATACAATTGAGCTGAGTTTAAAAGATGAGTGAATTATCTCTCCAGATAGAAGGAGAGGGCATTCTAGGAAGAGCAGATTACATGTTCAAAGACCCAAGGAAGAAAAGTGGGGATGAGGAATTGTGGGGATGTCAGAGAGGCTGCGGTGTGGAAAAGTAAAGAATCTTACCAACAAGGCTATGGAAACAGGTAACTAAGGTTGTGGAGAGCTTTTTATGTCATGCTAAGAAGTTGGGCTTATTTTATATTCAATCAAATTTGTAAATCTGAGGGTAGGGGTGATAAAAAAATTTTTAGTAAGCTATTCTGACAACAATGTCAAGGATGAACTGAGATAAAGCTAGTGACCAAAAACCAAATTAAAAAGTGGTTGCAATCATCTAAAATGATGTAACCCCTGGATTAAGATGGAAAATGTAGTTGGAAAGAATCCCAGATTTAAGGATACTTATTCTGTACATTCAGCAGGACTCACTAAACCCTTACAGTTGAGAACAAGTAAGACAATCTCAGGCAAGGATGTTGCCAGATGATTTAAAACATCCTGAGGACATCAAGGCAAATGGGAAGTAGGGCTTTCATTTGTTTCTACAAAGCAACTCTGATTTATGAGTGAAATGCAAATTTAATACAAAGTATCGAGCCTATGAGAAAAAAATTAAAAACCTGAATTCTAAAACCAAAGTAAGTTTCTAATACTTTTGGTGGTATGGTATATTCCAAATAACATTGGTATCAATTAATTTTGCAAACTGAGGTGGGCTCTCGAAAAGGAGAATTCAGGTATTAGGGCATTTGAATGAGTTGGAGTGCTTCCCACTCCATTTGAAAAGTATCCCCCATGCAGTGCATAGCTGTCTCTTACTCACTGCCGTGTACATGCTTCCAGGAATTAAAAATAGGGCTTCACTCTGTCTACTTCCAAATATTTAGCAGTCGCTAATGAAAAATGTTTTTGTATTTTGATTTCTTTTTCCAGTAGCTAAATATGGATTATTTTAAAAGTTTGGTCAATGCCAGTATCTTTTGTTTCTGTCAGATAAAATTCTAAGTAAGCTATCTGTAGGAAGATATATGTATAATTTTCTACTTGGATTTATACTGTTAGAGGATAGGTTTTATGTACTTGTCGTGCACCTAAAGTTTTGCACTGGGTACTAAGTGTCTCAAATCGTTAGTGTGTGGAGTTAAACAACTTAATACAGTATATAGCTCAAAGGTGAACCCTTAACCATGCCAGCAAAGCACCGCATGTCTCACAGTAGCATATATTTACATCTGTCTGCTTTCTTGGGATATTACTTTAAGTAGATTTTCATTCATTGTTAAGAAACAAAAACACTGGATCTCTAATTTTTTAGACTCGATGTTATTCAAAATTAACACAAAGATTAGAAATCACTAGAATAGAGGTTTGTAATTGCTATAATCATTTAGTGCTACCAAGAGGCAACCTTAATGTATTAGTTTTAGCTTTTGTCTTACTGAAATTTTAATTTAAAATGAAATCATACTCCTGTATAAATTCGTTTCCCCTCTTCCTTTCATGGCTGCGTTTACAGTGCATTTTCACAGAAGATGGCAGTCAGCTTGTATATGAGAAACTCTGTCTGTGCGCTGGAGCCAAGCCAAAGTTGATATGTGAAGGAAACCCTTATGTGCTAGGAATCCGTGATACAGACAGTGCTCAGGTAATATTTTAAGTTCAGGCTCCAGAAAGGAAACTTGAAGATTCCTTTGACTTTTCTGCATGTCAATAAGTGTTCCACTTAACAATACTAATTCCTAATTTATCAGAACAGAAGGGAAGTTTTTGTTTCATAGCTCACAAACAAAAATAGTGGTTATGTGTGCTGGGTATCTTGACAGAATCCAGTAATCCCTCATGAGGCTGAGGCAGGAGAATCAGAAGTTCAAGGCCAGTGAGGACTACATAGTGAGACTCTGTGTCGAAAAATAAGGGTGAAAAAAAAATACAGTAGTCATATGTTTTATTACTGCCAACTTCAGTTTGTCTTTAGTTGATGATTTACCTTGTGTTTTACTACATGCTGATATCAGAAATTCTTTTGGCTATGAGATACTGCAGATACAGTGACTATGTCAAATATTACAATTTATGTCACACATTTATTACTCCACTTCGGGATTATGTGATTTGCCACTTAATTAATATAAATTTTTTCCCAAATGATAAAACATATCTAAAATGTCTTGATCCTATTCCACTGCAAAGAAAATATTCCTGAGATCTTTGTGGTGGACTCATGATGGAACCATAGAACCACAAAAGGTTTATGCTTGGTTAGTTCATTGCTATCATAAAATCACTATTAACCATCCGAGTAAGATAAAACTTCTCTATGTGCACCTGATACACCTTCTTAGGGTGATTTGCCTCAGAGTTTATTAACCCTATCACCAAGAAGCTCCTCCTTGTGTCATCCTACTGCTTTGTCTCAGCTCTCACTCATTGTTTTTTCAAGGAGGGATGATTTTGCACTCATATATTGTTTTACATTCTTCAAAACTCCTAATGATTTCTCTCAGCCTGTTCTCTTAATTAGGAATTTAGAGAAAATTAAGAGAATATGATTGTCTTCGTGTCAACAGTGAAGGTTCATGTCATTAGTGAGTTAGACAGGCCTTCTACATACATGAAATCACATGTATTCTATGTACATGAGCTTTACATACATGAATCGCCATGATAATCCTCATGATACTCGAGAGGCCTTGCCACAAAGGCAGCTTAGGAGGAATGATAATGGAGCACTTGTACTAATAATAGGGAACGTGGGAGAATGAGATTTTGTTGTTACTTAATAAATTGAATAAAATACTTCCACGTTCCATATTCACTTTAATTACCTGACTTTGAGATTAAAAGATGAAGTATTTTCCTATTCTAAAGTAATTATTATGTTCATCAAAACTACAATGTTTGCTTTTGTTTTTGCAATACTGGGAATTAAACCCAATGGCTTCATACTGAGCTGCATCCCCAGCCCCCAACCCCGCTTTTGGTCTTGCTAAGTTGCTGAGTTGATCAGGGTGGGCTTGAAGTTGGGATCTTCCTGCCTCAGGCTCCCAAAGTTCTGGGGTTACCAGGCAGCACCACCACACCCAGCCACAAATATAGTTTCAACTTACTCTGTTCAACTGTGTCCACTGTACTTTACCGATGTTTCTTAAATTATATTATCATCAACAAAGGACAAACTAAAATCAACTTCAGGGTTTTTTTCTTATAGAATATTCATTCAATTTAAGGGATAGTATAAGCTTTTGGGTCATTCTAATAACAAATAACTGAAGTGGTAGGTAGAGGAACTTCTACATTGAGATATTCTGGAGTAATGAAACTATACTTTTGAAAGGGCCAGAAGTGTTACCCCTGGCTTCTCCCAGCTAGTCATAATCTTTTTGTGGGGGGGGGGTGAGAGGCATAATTGTCTTATAATAGTAATTATAGCATTTTTTAAAATAAATGTTGCAAAGTGCCCACTACCTCGGGCAGCTTTATGTACATCATGTCACAAAATCCATACAGAATTGTGAGAAAGCATAGTCACTTCTTTCTGTAGTTGAGAAACCTGAGGTGCAGAGAGGTTAAGCAGCTCATGTCAGGTTATCCAGTTAGGAGCTGCTAAAGCCAGTGACTCCAGACTGATGGTGAACCTTTCCAAAACCAGTGCCCACACTGCAACCCAAAACCCACTTCTCACAAAGTGCAAAGTTCTGCAGTTAAACCTGAATGCCAAGGTTTTAGTTTAGAAAATATAACACATAAATTATCATCTTTTGCCTTGAAAGAAAAACAAAAAACACACATGCCATAGGTTCGCCACCACTGCTCTGGACTCTGCTCTTACCTGCTGTGTTGCTGTACTTCTCATCCAGAAAGCTTCAAGTGTTGAGAGACCCTAAGGAAACATGTCAACCAAAAGGCTAGGCAGGGTAAAACTAATTGATTCTGTCCAATAGCTGGGAATGTGGTAAACTACATAGGGCCTTCAATTGAAATTCTGAAGGACTTCAGTGTAATCAGGCAAGGGAAAATAGGAGAGGCATTGCTATAAAGGCAGCTTGTGATGAAACAAGGATATCAAGAGAGAATATTAAGTGGGAGGGTAATTCCTGGCAGACTGGGAAAGTGAGATTTATTTTGTTCCTTTGTAAATTGATAAAATACATTTTTAGAACATTATCAGTGGAAACTCTTGCTTCACTATTTCAAAATATTTTCTTTTTAATGTAGGAATTTCAGAAGCAGCTTACTAAAGCTAAAAGAATAATGATCATAGGGAATGGTGGTATTGCACTTGAATTAGTGTAAGTATGTTTTAAAATATTATTTAAAAATTGGCCCGTGATTCATGTAATTGTGGTTATGATAGAAAACACTGTGTCCTGAAAATCAAAGATAAGTATAATTGTTTTTCATGTTTTCAGGGATAAATAATAAAGTGGATTTTTACTTTAAAATATGAAAAATTATACTATGAAAACATTTTAATTTATAAAAATGCATTCCACGGTAATAAGCCTATATGTAAAGTGAAATATAAAACATGTTACCTAGTGTGTGTATTCTGTTTTCTCTCAGCAGCAATCCTATATGATCTGAGCAACATACTATAGTATATTCTAACCCATCAAACGATATTCTGAAATTTAGTGACTATAAATGTTTGATGGCTCTGGGAACCAGGAAAAATAAAGGCACATTGGATGAAGTGAGGGAATGCTTGCCCATGTGCTATGAAAGCATGAATTTGACCTGGAATCAGATAAACTAAACTTTTTTTGTCTCCTGTTTATTGATTAGTTTTCAAAATCATTTAATGTAACTACATTATATCAGTCTATGAAAGAGAACAATACTTTATACCATTGACATGTTAAGAATTCATATATTAACATAAATATTCTTATTACTGTTACAAGTTCAAAAAAGTCCTATGTCCTGTTTGTCTGATATTGTCCCCATTTATACTATGATCAAAATAATTATTAACAGGAGATAGTATCTTGGGTTAGATGACAAGTGATATGATTATCTGAATTATAATGGACTTGGAACGCTTACTGAAACTCACCACATTCTCACCTAGAAATTAACTGCAAGATGCCCAGGGTCTCTGGCTAGCTCCTTTACAGTAATACAGTGTTTTACATTGCTAGGGCCATTTCTTTTTTCCTCTAAAGCCTTTGATCTTGTTAGGAACTACATCTTTCTTTGGTTAGAAGGTTTGGGAATTTATGAGATGAAGAAAATTGAAGGTAATGGTTCTTTAGAACTAAATTAAAGATTTTAACTTCTAACTCTTTCTCCTTTTTCTGTCCTCTTACATAAAGTGATGCTTTGAGTATATAAAAATTACCAAAGAAAGAAGTTACCTCTTCCCAATATGGTATCCATATACTATCCATCCTTTATTGATTACAATACAGCCAGATAAACAAAGCACTGCTTACATATGGAACCCTGGAGGACATTCATATAACTATGATCTACACTTAAACACTCTGAAATCATATTCATTTAATAAAAGTTTAGTTGATGCTGAGTACATAGAATTATCATATATAGGTTCTTTCAATAAAATGGTTAAATTTATTGTATTTATTCTATTTTTAACTTAGCTTTTTAAAGTATGTTACATTCTTTATAATCAGTCTTTCCAAATTTGCCTTAAAATATGTTCTTTGCTTTTGCTTTCAGAGATAATTGTTATTTGGAGATTTCTAACTACTCTTTTGAAACTACTTTGAATATCTTTAATATTTCTTCTAGCTATGAGATTGAAGGCTGCGAAGTGATTTGGGCCATTAAAGATAAAGCTATTGGGAACACTTTCTTCGATGCAGGAGCAGCTGCATTTTTGACTTCCAAGCTCATCTCTGAAAAACCAGAAGCTAAAATTCCACCTAAAAGGAGTAAATATACAACTGAAGGTAAACGTAGCCTGAATATAGCTCATTAATTCTCAGATGATATTATTTTTTTAACTGTACACAAAAGGGCTACAAGAAAATGTAGTGAAATATATTTGGGAGATAGAATATTTATTTCTGTATCTTTACATAAAGTTTTCAGATTTTCTAAAATATTTATGTAAATTTACATGTATATGTTTATTCAGATAATTAAAATAGGAAATTTAAAGTGAAATTAAAACTAGCCCATCTGCAAACAGATATTATAATTGGGCAATATTTAAGGTAAAAAATGCAATGAGTATACACCTTGCAATTTTCTGTTGTTTAATAGCTTTTTTTGAACTTTTGGCCTATAAAATTCAAAACAAATTTTGGAGGTACTAAAAATTGAAAATTTTGATTGCTAATTTTTTTACCCTTCAAATTAACCAATTGTCTAATATCCAAAAGATATGTTAAATGTTTATACATATTTAAGGTTTGTTTTATAGCTATTCCACAGATTAAAATTACTAATACAGTGCTCGCTTCGGCAGCACATATACTAAAATTACTAATACAAATTATTTTTGTTACACCATATATTTGTATGTGTGAGAACATCATTCCCTAAAAGCTTCAGAACATAGGTATAAATCTCTGCCTGCCAGTTTTTATATCACTTGAGTTCATTTCTTCAGGAATGAAGAAGGAGGCAAGAACCAAAGCTAAAGCTGATAATGTAGGCAGTGCCTTGGGACCAGACTGGCATGAAGGCTTGGATCTTAAAGGAACAAAAGAGGTATTGTTTTCATATACTGATTAAGTATGTCTAAACGTCAACAAAATGTTATATTCTTGAACCATTTATTAGAGACAACCAAAGAAATAACTAGGTTACTATACTTAAAAATCCATAGTGATAGGAAAGGACTTCAGATACGCTTGACCCAGACGCCCACCAAAGATAGGTGAATATAAATCTCATAAAGTTCATCTAAATTGTGTCTCAGTGTTTCTTAACTCTGCAGGCATCGAGCTCTCTGTGCCTAGACTACAGTGACTACACCTATCTGATTCTAAATTAATCTCTTCTGAAAAGTCACAAGTACATGTCAATGGATCCACAATATATATTTAATATCATAAGTGGAAAAGCTTGTAATTAGGTTTTATTTGTTTCATTCCTTAGCTATTTTAATTTTTGAAGTTTTTTTTAAAGCTGTCATACTTAAATATTCTGAAAAGCCATGTGATCTTTCATTACTGTTATTTCTCTAAAGCATTGTTTTTCAGCTTTGGGTAGGTAGGAAGTGGCTGGCTCCATGGTATGTCTAATTTTTAGGATGAAAATTATATAAAATCATTTCTTTCTGTACTCTTAGAGCCTAAGCTTAACTGTATTCTTAACTCAAATATTTCAACAGTTTATTTCAAAAAACATTTATTGTCTACTCTCTACCCCATACTTTACTAAGGTTCTGGGATTGAGTAAAGTCAGGATAGCCCTACCTTGAAGAAATTTTAGTCAGCACCATTGTCATTTTTTTAAAAAAACACATGTATAATTACCAGTGCAGCATAGACTTAAAAACATTCTCTCCATTCTATCTTCCAGTGAAACTACTAGATCTCAGGTACCGAATGAATTTCTGTTCACTCCTTTCATGCACAGAAACTGAGAGGCTTATTTTGAGGCATCCAGCATGTTTCATTTATAAGAATTGTTTTTTCTGTTCATTTTATAAGTCTATAATTGTTTTCTTCATCTCCGATAACCTAAGTTATTCTTTCTAGAAACACTATATGACTGTTTTTTTTTAATTTTTCAGTTTTCTCATAAGGTTCACATTGAAACTATGTGTGAAGTTAAGAAAATCTACCTCCAGGAAGAATTTAGACTTCTGAAGAAAAATTCCTTGACTTTTCCAACAGACCTACATAGTGAGTCAGTTACAACTGATAATGGTAAGCAGCAAGAAAAAATGTATTATTTATAAGTAATAATAATAAAGAATAAAAAGTAATAAACATAATTTAACCTTATTGTATTATATTTTAAAACTTCAAATTTCTGTGTAAAATGTAAGAGAAGTAAAAACAAAATCAAGTTTTATTAACACTAAGTCACTTTGTTTCACTATTTATATTGGGCTTTGTATTTCACATAAGGCTCATAACGTTTGCACAGCCCATTGAGTCAGTATCATACAGATCAAAACAAAACAAACTGAAAACAAAACAAACCCCCCGAAGCTTTCAGAGGTGAAGTGATTCCCCCAGACAGATTAATATCTATGGATTTGAGACTAAGATGCAGATCGAAGTCCTACTCTACACCTCCCATGAGAACTTCGCCTGTCCTACATACTCCTGTGAAGCATCTGAAGTAATGCTCGGCCCACTGGTATGTGGGAAATTCCACTGTTTTAAAGGCTTAAAAAGGGAGTATTGGAGGTGGGCTGGGAATAGCAAGGAAAAACGCTGAAAAGTGAGTAGATGAGTCAGGGCACACACTGTCACCTATTAATAAAGGTTTTTAAAGAAATAGTTTAGAAAAAAAAAGAAATAGTTTAGAAAGTGGTTATGCAACTAAATTTACTTTGTTACAAAGTTTATATGTCCAAATTTGAAGGAATATGTTTAAAATGACTTTGCAATTATACCAAAAGTAGAAGGTACTGATTGTATTAAAATTATTCTAAGGAAAACACCTTCTTAAAATCATTAAGGGGTGTTGTTTAAAGCCATCTGCTTCCTTTTTCTTTGTTTATACTCATTACATTTATGTAATGCTGTGGACAATTGCTGCTGAATACATTTGAGAATAAAATCTTTCTTTTTTAAAGAAACATGGCCTGTATATGTGGAACTGACCAATGAAAAGCTGTACGGCTGTGATTTTATTGTCAGTGCTACAGGAGTTACACCAAATACAGAACCTTTTCTCCATGGTAACAATGTAAGGTGAATGTTTTGTCCAGTTATGAATATTTTGAAAGTATTAATTCTTTATGAAGAAGTCTAATTCTCAATCACAAATAACTATTCCTCATTTTAGTAAAGAACTAAAAATAGCTGGAAATAATGTGGTTTATATTCATGTATTGACTTACGTTATTCTTTACTTTTTAAAATTCTTAAAGCAGTTATCATCCCAGCCTGAGTGCCATCAAGAGACATAATGTACAATTTATCTAAGAGTTGGTTAAAAGACTAACACCTGTTATGAATTCTCAGAAATGAGTCTTAGAGATTGTTATTTTCTTTAGCCTTTTAGCGTTTAAAGCTTAGAAAAACAGGAATGTTGTTGTCATTATGTGTGAGGCAATTATATGGTTATTGGGTACTTTTGAAGTTGAAATTCTGAAATCTGAGTCTGTATCAGTAAAAATTTAATCCCTGGGGGAGAAAAAAAAATTTAATCCCTGGAAAGTCAGCATGAGATGCCTAGACTTTGGAGATTAACATACCAAGGTGTAAAATTTGACATGTCCTTTTATTTTTACAATGAAAAAGTCATGCATCAGTTTTCTCTGTACTTGCTGTTTATGAGGAACATCATTTAGTTTGACCTAGGAGAAGACGGCGGCCTGAAAGTGGATGACCACATGCACACGTCACTTCCAGATATCTATGCGGCAGGTGACATCTGCACAGCATCTTGGCAGCCCAGCCCTGTCTGGCAGCAGGTGAGCCAGCACTTAGGACCACGTGATTTTATCAGGGATTCATTTGGAAATAAAGCAGTTGCTACCCACTCATCCAACTTTCTGGGTTTCCAAAGTTATTTTGTGATATTAAAAAAACCTCTAGGGCAGGGGTATGGGGAAAAAATAAGAACCGAGACATATCATGTAAAGGTGCAAGAGCCCAATGATAAATGTAACTATTGTTTGCTTTAAATGTACCAATAAACTAATAGGAAAAAAAACCTGGATTTTTCCCCCTTTTTGGTAAGTTATATGGTAAACTATAGGGTAGGCAAGGATATCTTTTAATCTATAAAGAATTAAGGACTGTTACTTTACTTTTCATTCTCATATGCATATCAGCACCAACCACAACTCTGTGATAATGGAAAGTCTACAATTCTGGACTGTTTAGTTAGCCACTAGTCACATGGGCACTTTAAATGTGGCTGATATGACCGAGGAACTGACTTTCTAATTTTATCTCCATTTAATTAAATAGCTGCGTGTGGCTAGTGGTGACCATATTGGACAGCACAGCTTTGGATTAAAAAACAAACCACTGAGATCATAAATTACATAAATAAGACATTCTATTTCTGGATGACCCCATTCCATCCTGATGACAATTATTACTAAAAAAAAGAGTTCCTAACAGTGAATAGCTTTCCACATCTTAACAGCTTCCATCTGGATCTAGTGCTCACAGTGCTGCCTGCAACCTTCTAAGGGGCAACAAAACTACTAGAGGACGGTAATCAAAGATAAAAGTGGTCTTAGGAAGGAAGGGTAGAGACAGGGGAGATGTTACAGATTTAAAAAAAAAAGTCAGCATTTATCTTCGTTGAAGACCAGTTCCATAGTGAGAGCTGTTCATTCAGATGAACTAAGAAATGTGAAGTCCTGGGAGAGCTCAGTGTATTTTAAGATGTAGCTTCATCATTTTCTGTTTTTATGTTCAGAAGAGACATCAATAAAAAGAGTGCTTTTAGCCTGATTGTTCCTAAAACACCTCATACTCACTTGTACCAGTGTTCTCTGTATCCTACATCATTTCTGTGGCTTAACTCATAAATTCTTGATTAGGAATTGGAGGTGGTGGGACATTCTTTTTAATAGTTTATACCCTCTCAGATAAACTATTTTCAATGTATGTGATAACCTAATATAAAGAAAAATATCTAAAAAAACAAACAGTTCTCCCTTGTTTTCAGTGAATCTAAGATTCTATTTCTTAATCTGCAGAAGCACTAAAAACATTAATTTATTTGACGTAACCTAAGACACAAACTTAAGAGATTTTGATGCTGGAATACACTAGTGTTCCAGCAGTGTCATACTGCAGGCCACTGTGTACTGTTACTATGTTCAGTTTACTCTGCTCCTTTGTAATAGACTGCTTTTCACTTAAACCTACTTTCCTTGTAGGGACTGAATTTTTAAAAAATCTTAATTAACACTATTAGAAATGCCCAAAGCTCATGTTTATGACTGATATTTTGGCACATAAAAGTCAATATAGGCACATATGCACACACACAGGAAGAAACTAAATGCTTATCACAGGCCAGCCCACTCCCAAGAGCTACGCAGTAAGTGGTGTTATGTTTATGTTTAGTGCAAAAACTGAGGCTCGGGAAAGTTAAATATGTGAAAGAGCTGGTATTCATATCTACCAAGACAAGTTTTCTTCTTTTATACTAGGGGATCCCAAAACTGTAGAAATAGACTAAAAATACACTTGCAGGGAAATTGGTATAATCATAGAGAAAAAATTATATGACTTTCCACAATCAGTTTCTGCAATCTGATATGATATCTTGGAGCGGGCACCAACTGATACTGGTATATCTACATCTCTCTGATTTTTTAGTTTAATTGCACAGTAATGCTTGAGCTTAACTAATGCTTGAAGAATGAAGGTAAATGGAATACATTTTTCAGTGACTGTTTGATATGTATATTGATGCTGATGACAAACTCTGAAGAGGAGACTGGTTAAAATCTGATGTAATTTGAAATATTTTTGAATAGAAATTTGTTCAGTAGAAATTTTATTGAAACATTCATGATGAGTGGATGTCCTCCTTAATTTTCAGAGACAGTAATTGATAGAATTAAAAAAATACCAAAATCAGCTTGATTAGTGTATGCTGGTGACTATTTCAGTGGCAAAGATGATAGATAATAGCTAGAACCAAATGAACTGAAGGACTGTCAAGTATAAAACCTCTTTAAGGGAATGTGCGAGGCTAAAATCATCTTTTTTAAGTAATGTAAGTGAGAAACATTTGTCATATAACTTTTTTCCATTCAGATGAGGCTGTGGACCCAGGCTAGGCAGATGGGATGGTACGCTGCAAAGTGCATGGCAGCAGCTAGCTTGGGAGACTACATTGACATGGATTTCAGCTTTGAACTCTTCGCTCATGTAACAAAATTTTTTAACTCTAAGGTAAGATGGTTAAGCAAATGAATACTATTTCTTCTGTTGGTCTGGTAATTAAATATATTCAATCTCATTTTCTCACTAAAGATATAAGTGGTTTCAATCATTCTGCCAAAAAAAAAAAAACTTTCTTCTTGCAAGGCAACACTGGTATGACTGCTCTTAATTCTTAATAATTATACTGCTACACCATTTTACGGTTATGGGCGGGGGATTTCTTCCTAGATTTGTTTCATGTTGGTACATTTCTAAGTTTTACTTGAGATTCATCTTGTCATTGTGAGGGAAACTAGCAGGTGTCACACTCAGGAATGAACCAAGTGTTTTCCTGTTCGTAATAGTATTTTATTTGGTCCTTGTTAAATTATTCTAAAGCAGGGGGTTTTTTCCCTACAAATTTACTGATAAGGAAAAATACGTTCAAAAGCTTTAAGGAAATTCAATAATCTGTCCATGAAAGATCTAACTCACTTCCTCATGAAATATTTAAACTGGAGTTCTAGGCTAATGTAGTTCATGTTCTGTATATTTATGCATTCACTAGATACTTTTAATGTTAATGTAGTATAGTATATTCTCCAGATACTTCCAATATTAAAATTATTAAATATTAATATATTCACGGGCCGGGGATTTAGCTCAGTGTTTCCACTGCTTTCCTTGCAAGCACAAGGACCCGAGTTTGATCCCCTGTACCAAAAAATTTCACTGATACTTTTAATGTTAATGTAAATTGTGTTGCAATTATATACAGAATAAATGTTTTCTTTGGGACCCTCCCCATTGATATTTTGAGCTGTAAAAATTTGAATCGTTTTTTTGCACGCTATTAAAACATGACCCAAAATAACTGCATGTTATATTTCCCTTTTTGACATTCATGAGAATAATTTTTTTTATCCCTATGTATAGGTTGTATTGCTGGGGAAATACAATGCACAGGGCTTGGGTTCAGATCATGAATTAATGCTGAGGTGCACCAAAGGACAAGAGTACATCAAAGTTGTCATGCAGAATGGACATATGATGGGAGCGGTCCTAATTGGTGAAACTGACTTAGAGGAGACATTTGAAAATTTAATTTTAAACCAAATGGATCTTTCACCATACGGAGAAGATCTCCTAGATCCAAATATTGATATAGAAGATTATTTTGACTAAAATGAGACTTCTTCAAGAATCACATAAAGTTCCAACTAAAGAAAACTACGGTCAGTAAAATGAATGATCTGATTTAATGATGACTTCAATGGAGTTAAAAACAGATGGGTCGTCTAACATCATGCCTGGGCCCTGGGTTCAATCCCCAGCACCAAAGTGGGGTAAAAAACAGAATAATGATGTTCATGGAAAAGTATTAAAAAACTAAAATTCAGTGGATGAAATCAGTTCAGATAATTTCTTTACATATACATTTTTCTAGTACAAAACTGACCTTATGTAAGAAATCTTAAGTTACTTAGTCATTTTTAAGCTTTAAACATTTCACCTGTGATTTAGCTTTGGCACGCATTTAGCTAAATCGTTATCTGCTTAGCCAAAATGTACTCTAATAGGCTGGATCTAGTCTTTGATTATGAAGTGTCAAAACAGTAGTTTTAGGAAGCTTATCGTTTTATTTTACTTAAATAAAACTCTATTTACTTAAATAGAGATAAAACAGTATTTTATTTGTTAATATTATTCATACTGATGTTATTCCTTTTGTTTGAATCATACAGCCATTTTATACCTGTAATCATGTACATTATCATGCTTAAAATATCACTTGAGTGTAGATCACTTGTATGTCAGTATAACAGTGCTATCAAAAAGACTTGTGTTGAAGAAATACAGGAAGCATACCAAGGCCTAAAGAGCTTATACTTACATGGACTTGTCTCAAGTATTTCACATTTAAACAATTTTACATAAAGATTTATTTTTCCCTTGTTTGACAGTAAAATTATATAATACGTGAACTTTTATCAAAAGATCTCAAATTCTCTAATATTCAGAGATGAACTTTGAAAATACAGTTCTATAAGTATAAAAAGCATCAATGATATTGTTTTTAAAATTAAATGTTAGCTACAAAAACAATGGTGTACACATGCATAAACTATTCCTTTTGTGGAAAATTTAATAACAGTCTTTTCAGGCATCATCAATTTTTCTTTTCTTGGCCCCTGAGTTCTTGGAACCAGATTTTTGAAACATGTTTGTAGACTTCTGGAAGTTGCCTGAATTTTTTTCCACCACCGTTTTCTGAATTCGATCAGAATGACAAGTTTCAGATGATTCAGCCTACAAAAAATGAAAAAAATAAAGCAAACACCCTTGTGGAAGTCCAGATCTTTGGGTTTCTCATCAGATTAATAATCTCAAAATATTCCTGCTGTATCAGTTAGTTAGGTAAGTGTCCAAGGTCTGATTTTCATTTCTAAGTTTCTCTCAAATATGAGCTCTAGCTTAAACAAAAGGTACTACATTGTCTGAAGAACTCTAAAGAACACTTGCAGTATTCCTAGACAACAGGAGTACATAGCCTGCTTTGCAGGCAGGATGGTACTTGCCTTATGATGGCTTTCAGTCACTGTAGTAGCACAGACCTCTTAACCAGTGTTGATCACAACCAGTGTCTCAAGGGCAGATGCCCCAGAAAAGTAGACTAAAATGGAGGCCTCTCATTCTAGGAGGTTGGAAACCTCTTAGTCTATGTTAGTCTGGTCTGAATTCTTCCACTTAACACCTACAGTAAACAAAGTTATGTTTTCTCACTTCCAAAGTCAGAATTTGAGAACTAACATCTATTCTTGTGTTCAGTTAGAACTAGGAAGAAATTACAGAAAGGCATAGGATTTAGTTTCTTTAAATACATAGAAACTGAAAATGAATAGCTGGTCAGTTACCTTGGAACAGTTCTGTGTGGGCTTCTTCACCTGCATGGTAATAACGTGTGCTTCACTGTTCAGAAGATTAGCTTTGGGTCCAACTTTCAAATACGAAATCGTAGCATAAGCTGTAAAACTGTAGTCTTCTCTGCAGCAGATAAAAGCCAACAATCAGGAAACTTTTGAAGGAACCACAGGAAAATTCATTAAAAGCCCTAATTTTAAATAACATTACTATTAATACGAAATAATACTATACAGGTATATCATT